TCCTGGATGCTGAAGGAGCTTAGAAGCTGGAGGAGCACAGGATGGACAGCAGCTTCCCAGGGGAGGGAGTGCGCTGTGCTCATTATCTGGTCCCATTTGTGCTGGATTTCTAACAGAGGGACTGAGAAAGAAGTAAAAGTCCACATCACGGTGCTGGGAGCAAGCAGCCTGCATCCCTGTGTGGCAATAAATATGAGAAACAGAAGAGGGGGAAGATACTGGTGCTGCTAGAGTGGCCGGGAATAGAAAGGGAAAAGATCAAAATGTGCTTTTTGACAAAAGGTTTTTACACTCTTTTTTTTTAAGTTCCTCCCTGCTTTTTCTTAAAAACTTCATCAGAATTCTCTGGTCCTTTATGGCAAGACAGTGTACAAAACAGCCAAGCCAGCACTGCCAGGAACCTCCTTCTTATCAGCATTGCTTTTAATCAGATAGAGGTGTTGAGAACTTCTCTTAGTTCCTACTCCGCATACATTCCAGTTTTTACTTTCTCAGACTTCTGGTTAGTTTTCATGAAAGCAAGACAAGACAAAGAAGCACCACCACAAAAACATATCTTTAGAGAGGAGCTGTCATCCAGATGGGTTCCCAAAGGATGCTCAGGGGCTGTGTATTTTGCTCCCACCTCTGCCATCACCTCCTGAACATTTCTCATCAGGCTCCCTGTTTCCAGACAAGTCCTCTCAGCCTGTGGCCCTATTTCATGCTGGGGGACCAGGTGGACATCTCCCCTCCATCTGCCCACAGCTTACCAGCCCACAGCCATTCCCACGGGTCATGTCCTCAAGCTCAACACAGCGCCAGGTAATTATCCAAAGAACTTACCTATTTCATGCTTAATTGCACAGGCTCATACTTTTGCTCCACCCTCAGCCCAGCCACAGCCTAGCAACTTGCACTGCCCCCCAGGCTCACATCCCAGCCTCAAGCAGCCCAGCCCTGCGGTGTGAAGTCACCCAGCAGTGACATAGAGGCAAGGAACAGGTGACAGGGGACAGCTCAAAGCCAGCCCACAGAACCTGTGTGTTAAGGGCTTCATGGCTAGAAATGGTTGCCTCCAGAGCAAGAATGCAAGTCTGACCCTGGAAAACACTTTGTCCAGAAGACATCAGGATGAAAAGTTCTTTAAGCAAAACAGGATATTTTGGACATTGAACACAACTATTTGACAAACAAGACGTGTTTACCTGCAGCTATGCAGCTGGACCTGGAGGAGAAGCTCCACAAAACCTCTGTGTAACCCCACTCCCCTCAAAAACCCAAACACAAGAGTCATCGAACCAGCTTTGTCTAAGCCAGATTTCCTGATGCAATGATACTTCTCAATCTGCCCAATTAGTCTGCAAAATTCTCACACACATCCCTAGAAACAAAACAAAACAAAGAAAAAATTACAGGCTTCGGAGTAAGAGGAAACGCTTTTTGTACAGGCTGTTTTGGGAGATCCTTTCATTAACGAGGTTCTGATTCAGACAGCATTTCATAGAATCATGGAATTGTTTAAGTTGGGAAGGACCCTTAGATGTCATCTACGCCAACTCCCCTGCAATGAACAGGGGCACCTACAGCCAGATCAAGCTGACCAACTCTCCCAGAATGCCTTCATATTCCTTACTCCAAAGTATGACGCCATCTGCCACAGGTCACTCTGATAAGGAGTGTAGTTTGCTGCCAGCCTAAGAACGCTGTCAGACTGGCGGAGGAGCTGCCTAACAAATTGGCATTTTTTTGCAGCTATTATGAGTTTTCCTCATGGAGATTTACATCTCAAGCAGGGTCTCGATGCCTTAGAAATATTCTCAAAATAACAGAAAGAGGAAAAGAAATCACAACAAAACCACAAACTTAAGAGCTAAGCTTTTTTTGTGTTTCTTTCATTTTTTCTCGTTAAATCCATTACAGCCTCCTCTTCTCCCTATTCCATGGGTATTGAAGATACTGAATAAAGTGTGTGGGAAAGAGAGGGATTTGGATAACAATTTTTCCAAACCCAACTTGATCCATTCCAACTCACTTGTCAGGTTAAATGCCAGCAGCACACAGCAGAGAGCCAGGCAGCTGGAACAGCACTGATGTAACTCAGTGTTACAATGTCACAGGACAGCAAAACCAAAAGCTTTCCTTCCCAGGGCAGGGAAACTGCTCTTCCCATCTATGCTGAGCACGAGCATCGCCCGACCTGATGTGCTGTCGGACAGGGCATCCCACAGCCAGACTTTGCAGGCATTTAGTACCTGGCAAGAGGGTAGCAGTGCACCACCTGAACACACCTCCACCATTAGATGCAGTTTATCTGCATTTTAACACAACTGCAGGGGAAATAAATTCTCACCAGGCATGGCATTCATTTGAAAAATACTGATGCGTCTAATTTTGTTCTCCAAATTGCAATTTTTTTAATGGTGGATTTATGCAAGACTTGGACACTGTCCTTCACAGTGTTTGGTATGATGTTCTATTTCAGCTTTGAGAGGAAAAGAATGTTGAAATAAAAATTTTCCACACTGACTGACACGGTTCAGTGAGAATGGTGGGGACAGGTTGATGGTTGAAGTGAATTACCTTATTGGTATTTTCCAACTTTAATGATCCTATGATTCAAAGAAAGATCAAAACACGAAGATAAGCTAAAACTGTGGAGAGATGCGGTCACAAAAAGAGGCAGTTTTGAAACACAGAAAGAAGCAGAAAATAGTGGACATAGAGTCTCAAGGCTGCTCCCAAGCAGGTGATGCCACAGGGAGCATGAACCAGAAGCACACTCCACAGGACACCTTGCTGAAGTGCGCTGCTCTCCATTCCAGAGGCACCAAAATCAGCTGCGGGCGATCACTGCGTGCCCACTGCTCCAGTCCCACTGCCCATCTGACAAAGATCCCATTACAGCCATGTCACTTTACACCTGCAGTGCCTGCTGACCAAGGTCCTCCTCCAACATCACCTACACTCACAGACACACAGAGAGAACAGATGAACAGTGAGGACACCCTCCAGCTCCATCATCGTGCACTTCTGCATGAGTGGTTGGGTACTTCTGAAGATGACATACCAAGACACCCAGAACCCAACTCCCCATAGCAGACAGCAGGGATGGACTCCTCTGGAGCAGCTCTGACCGCGTTTCTTCCCCTTTGTGGGGACGATCCCTGGCCAATCAGCAAAGCTGGCACGCGCATTAGCTCCCTACTGTACTTTTCGTTCAGCCCCAAAGATTGAATGAATACGTTTTTATTTAAGTGCTCAATCACTTTCTTGCTGAGAGGACAGATTCCTTTGAAGTGGGAAACCCAAGCTAAATAAACACATCCACAAGATCCAAGTCTCAAAATAGAAGCCGTTGGCTTGCTAGATTAAGTTATTCTGAATGCAATTTTCTTAAGTGAATCCAATGCCTCGGAAGGGCCGGAGTGACAGGGATGCTAATCCCCGGCTGTGGGATGGGGACAGCATGCAAAGCAGCTGTGCCAGGGCCAGCGAGATGGGACCCAGACTGACAGTGGGGTAGAAACAGCAATTCGATGCACTAGAGATGCAAAATCTTCATATCCCCAGCAGAGCATGCTCCTGCATATGTCTGAGAGACACAGCTTAAAAAAACAAAAAGAAGGTGCATGCCTCTAACAGGACTTCAGAAATGTTACAGCAGCAGTAAAATGCTTCTGTGTGGGTTATTTCTCCTCAAGGAGCTCTCCCTACTTATCAGCAGAAGTGAAGCATGCAGAGGAGTGGGGCTTCAGTGCCTGCAGCCACACAGCACCATGAGGATCTGGAAAAACTTTTGGTGCCTGAAGCTGCAGACACCTGGGCTGCCTTCTCGAGTACTGTCCTCCCTGGTACCTGAGGCCCACAGTGAACTGTTCATCTTAATGCTTTTTTTCTGGACCAGAATTAAGAGGAGGTGCAGCACCACAAGAAGAATAATGACATTTCAGTTCTAAATCACACGAAAACAAAAGCGGCAGCCTCTTCTCTGACAGGTTGCTCCAAACTAGCTCCTAGGTGTACAGAAGATGGAGACTGAAGACACATCCATGACACTACAACTCCAGCTCTGGGTACGTGCAATGGGTGGGGTTTGTGATCGCGTCTCAGCTGAAGTCACATGCATGCAGCGCCCGCCTCTGGAGTGAGGCATGGGGGAATACTGCCCTTCCCCATTGCCCACTCGACATTAGATAGGTTGACTTATTGCACCAGGCTGGCAAGGATAAGGCACACTCCCTGCCCTTCCAAGAGCTGGGGAACGGATGGGAAAAAAATTGTAATTTTTTTGTTTCCTGCTCCACTCTAATATAACTTCCACAATTGATAGGTAGACAATATAACCATCATCGTTACAATATTGTCTTCCCATCACCCTCTACACATACTCAGTGGAATTTACTACCCAAAACTATAAAGACACTAAGATCCATTCATAAAGGTATTTCCTATCCAAAAATGAAAGTGTGATAAGATCCATCCGCAAAGGCACCTACAGCACCGTGAGCAGAGGGACCGTCCCACAGCTAGCAGCGGCTGCCCCAATCCCCAGTGTGATGCTGCGTGCCGTGGGGAGGGAGCCGATCCCGAGCGCTGCTCCCCGATGCACAAAGCCTTTTTGCATGGAGCAACCGATGGCGGGCATCAATGTCAATCAGCAGCCGGCGATACCGTATCTGGTGGCAAAAAGCGGAGTGAGCCTTTTCATCTCGCTGACAGGCAGCTTGAGCAGCCCTGCTGCAGCCCTCGAGACTCCTCAACAAACAAAGAGTTAACGCCAGAAAATTCACATCTGTCCTCGCGACTACAAAGACGGCATTTACATCACCCCACCGCACATTATCCCGCAGTGTAAAGCAGGACTCCCCCGGCCCCACTACGAGCGCTGCAGTTCGTCACGGGGTTCGGCTCTTCCACCGGGACCGCGACCGACACTGCCACAGCCCGAACGCACGCTGCGTCCACACGCTGTGTGACCGACGGAGGAACCCCGAAAAGTCTTCGGGGAGAGAACTCACTGTTCTGGGGATGGGTGGCGACAGAGATCCGTTAGGCATGTACGGGTCGTTGTTCATATTTGGCATCATGATATACCCCGAGTAACCAGAGTACGATGGTCCCTTGCTGTACAAGCCGCCGTCAGGATGCTTTCCTGCGGAAGAGGAGACAATGAGGGTGTTATTCCCCACGCGTGCACCTCAGAGCACTTAAACAGGTACTATGCATTCACGGAAACGTTCTGCCTGAGAACATTCCCTTGCTTATGGCAATTATTTCTGGCAGAAAGCAGTCCCAGCAATTTGTAACCACATTTTTTTGAAGAAGAGTTAATTCTTAAAGGAGTCACTGCACTTTGTGAGGGGCCAGTGCAACACACCCTCAGAGCAACTCATTTATTTCGACAGTCCCCTCCAGAGTAGGCAGAAACACCAGCACTGACATCGTGTTCCTCAAGCAGCAGTTTTCCCCCACGTTGCACATCCCTCCAGGATGCTGGGCTGGGAAGCATTGCCAGCATGGCTTCCCCCCATCACTGCTAGGAGGGGAGGGAGAAGATGGTGAGAACAAGGGGCAATCACCCCCTCCTCTCCTAACCGGGAGCACAGGGCAGGGCTGGCACAGGGCAAACCCAGGGCCAAGGCTGCTGAACAGCCTCGGGGAGGGAGAGCCTAGGGGGGAGGTGATGTTGTGGGGAAATTGCTTGGCTCCGGGTCCTGCAAAGGGACAGGTTTGGGCAGCAAGACCGCCTGCAGGTGAGTTTTTCAGAGGATGCAAAAGGAGAAAGAGCTGCGCAGAGCTGATCTTCCCTCACGGCCATAAGCACAGACATTGCAGCTGTTCGGCTGTGCAGTGCCCAGTTCTGTGAGGAACCACAGGGTCCCGGCAGGCATTGGGGCTGAGCTGCATCCCACTCTTGTGGAGGTGATGACCTCCTTCAGCCCGTGATCATAACCACTGCACATTAAGCACAGCCTTTGTCCTTCACAGCACTCGTTCTTTGTACACATGCCCGGCTCTCTAAGCAATATTCCACAAACTTTGTTATTTCTTTGGCCACAACAAACCACTGGTGTGTTACAGAGCAGGAGAGCTGCTCGGATGGAGGCTTAGGGGCTTAAGGGGCACCATGCGTTAGCGGGAAATCACACTGCTCCCCAACACAGCTGGCTGTGCTGTGTCAAAGCCAACATCCTAAAAACAGTGATTTCTTCAGCGAGGATCCATGTGGCCTCCTTATCAGTCTTTTTTTCGACAACCATTTGGTCACTGGAGATAAACGCTCAGCGCATCCACCTCCTCCCCCAGCGCTCCCCCATCCCCAACAGACACTGAATTCAGACACGGACTGCAGCCCGAAGGTGGGAGCAGCACACGGGACACGCGGTTCTCACCTTCCTCGGGGTGCTCCCTGCCCTTGTCATGATAGGAATCCTGTGCTGGAGTCTGCCTGGAAACCTGGCCGCGGGGAATCCGGCACCGGAGAGAAGGAAGGAAAAGAGGAGAAGTCACTGTGCGGGTGTTCGCTGCGCCCGTCCGCCTCAAAAGACGGGACAGTGACGGCGCGGAGCAGCACCACTGGTTCCACCGGGCAGAGCGCAGCCCGAGGGGCGGCGTGCGGGAAAGCGCCGAGCTCCGGCGGCCGAAACGCCCAATGGGTACCAAAATGCAAAAGGAAAATAAGGTTGCCCTCGTTACTGCATATTTGGGAGGGGGGGAGGAGGAGAGAGAAAAAAATATATATATATAAAAATAATTAAAATATTAACAAAAAAAAAAAAAAAAAAAAAAAAAAAAAAAAGAAGGGAAAACAGGCAGGAACACCGACAAGCGGCTCTCTCCGAAGTTGTTTTAGCGTCGTGGATTTCTTCCCGACAGTTCAATGTGAACCCCTCCAAGAGCCCACGGCCCGTGGGGGTGCGGGGCAGCGCTGGGGCCGCCGCCCGCCCCACGGGACTTGCGCCGCGCCGAGCCCGGCCGGGCCGAGGGGGCCTTTGCCGGGGCCCGGCCACCACCGCGGGGCTCGGCCGCCCCTCCCGGTTCCTCGTTGCCCCCCGGCCCCTCACCTCGGCGCCGGGCGCGATCTCGGACTCGTTGACCAGCGAGGACTTGATGTCGGCCAGGTCGCCCTCCTCCTCGGGGTGGCTGATCTCGGCGAAGATCTTCTCCTTCTGGGGGTCCCCTTCGTCCTTGAAGGGGATCATCTCGTCGGTGGCGCAGAGCTCCGGGTCCCCCCCGCCGCCCCCGGCCCCCGGCAGCTGCGGCATCCTCGCGGCAGCGCGGCGTCTGCTGCGGCCGCCGGCCCGCCGCGGGAAGGGAGCGGGAGGAGCGGCGGGGGAGGAGGCGAGGGAGGAGGCGAGAGAGGAGGAGGAGGAGAGAAGAAGGGGAAAAAAAAAAAAATAAATAAATTAAAAAAACCCCGCGAAGTCCTCGCCAAGTTGCTGCCTCCGCGCTCGGCGCCCGCCGCGGGGGGAACGGCGTAGGGAGGCCGCGGGGCTGCGCGGGACGAACCGAACCCCCCCGCCCCAGCCGTCGGGGAGGGGCGGGGGCGGCGGAGATGAAAGGCGCCACCGCCGTGAGTGACACCGGGGGGCGGTGGGATGGGGGCAGCGGGGGGGGGGGGGGGGGGGGGAGCAGGAAGGGGGCCGGGCCGGGCCGGGCCCCGGGAAAGTTTGCCGAGACGGCCGCCGTGCGGGTACGCTCGTGCGGAGCCGGGAGCTCTGCGGGAGCGGTGCCCCTCTCCGCCCCGCTGGGAGAGAACACGCGTTGGAAAGATTTTGTCGATAACCAAAAAATTAAAGAAAAATTCCAAACAAAAGCATCCGACGCGCTCACTTGGGAAACATCGGAGCGACGCCACTCGTTGTGTTCGGTGCGGGGCATCCTGCGGACCACCGCTCCCCGCCATTCCGGCCCCGTCGCCGGGGCGCACCGTGCCCAGCCCGTACCTCGTCCGTGCACTCCGTTGGCCGCGGGGCCTCCGCACCGCTTCCCCCGGACGGTTCCGTAAGGAATAGGGCTGAGGACGGGAGAAGGTAGCGGGGCACGGCGGGAGGGACGAGCGAGAATAGAATGAAACGGACGAGGAAAGCGGGAACAGAAAGACGAGGACGGGATGAGCCACCCCGAGCACCGCACGGCGCTCCGCGGGCGTTGCGCCGGGACAGCACTGCAAGACCTGCCCGGTCCTTCTGCAAATCAGCGGGTTTTGAGCATCCTGTTTTTTATACGCGCGCAGAATTGCGTTATAGCAGGATGTCGTGAGGTTTTGGTTGTTTTTTTTTTTTTTTTTCTTTTTTTCCATTTTTGCACACCTTTTAGCTTCGTTTGGCCGTTTCAGCAATTGGGATGTATAATAATAATTTTTTTTTTAACGATTATTTTACGATCATTTTGTTTTGCAGCCCCGACGGCCGGCCCCGCTCTACCCCAGCCCTACAGCAGGGGAAGGAAGGGAGACATAAGCACACAACCCACGATCCCCACTCGCAGCCCCCCCGGTTGCGTGCGGAGCGGCGCCCCCTATATAGGAGAGGGCGGGAGCGGGGCGGGGCGGCGGCGCTTTGATGTCCCGCCGGCGGCCCCTTTCATCCCCCCCCCGCCGGTCCCCCCGGGCCCTTTGTGCGCCTAAATTTGGCAGGAGCATGGAGGCGCGCCAGGGCGCCCACGTGTGCGCCGAGCTCCCAGCTGAGCCGGCCCCGGGTTTTCTTCCGGGTAAGGAGACAGCGGGGGAGATCAAAGAGTTTGGGGAGCCGAAGCCGAAATGTGCATGGAAATAGAGGGAAATCATCGCCGTCGTCGTAATAAAAATAATACCCAAAAAAATCCTGACGCCTGGACGCGTGCCAGCCCGGAGCTACGGGGGAGAGCGGCGCGCGTGGTGGGGAGGGAGAGGAGGGATGGAGCGGGTTTTCTCCGAGAGGAAGAAAAAATAAAATCTCCCATTTTATAAAGGCTGTCGGAGTTCTTCTCCAGAGGAAATTTAATAAATAAATAAATAAAGGAGAGAAAGAAGGAAAAAAAAAAAAAGAAAGAAAGAAAAACCCACCCTTTTGTTTCAAAGCGCCGCGCAGCCGAGCGGCTCCGCCCGACGGCGCGTCCCAGCGCTGCCGCCCTCGGCCCGGCCCCAGTGGAGCGCTGCCCCCACGGCCTCAGGGCGTTGAGAGGCGGAGGTGTCCAG